TCTCTTCTCTTCTCGCCTGAGAGCTTCTTCATCATCTTTATCACGAGCGTCAGCGTCGAGGCTCTTCAGCCACGACAACGAAGCTACATCTCCGCCATCAAGCCTCCGCACCATCATCGCGTGAGCTCCTTCCTTCGTTCTTCACATCTCATCATCTTCATTGGACTTTTGACGTCATTTCCATTCAGTCGTAAGCTTGTATACATCATGTCCATTGCATTTATTCATGTTCGTTCTCATTCATTATATGACCATTTAAACTCTGTGCAATATTACCAATTCTATTTTATGTCATTCATATTCCGAGTCATCGACTTGTGCTTGACTACACTTTGCAAGTGTACGGTCAGCTAGCTTCATCAGTACCCAATAAACATAACGAAGAGGGCATACTTTCTTTCATGTATTTTATTGCCAGTGCAACCATGCTTCCTCGTATCTAAAATAAAAATAAGAGTTAGATTCTAGGTCTAGACAATCATGACAATGTTGTGTGGATCAGTGAACACGTCTTTACAATATTAATTCACATTACCTCACACAATCATTTCTCTAAAGGCTGACGAACGAAAGAAACAGATATTTTCGGTCCACGCCCACGGTAATACGGTACGTCGGTCGGCCGCGGCAGCATGAGCCATGACGGAATATTACGCATCTCTACGGTCTGACTAATAATCATACGCCCCAGCTGCCCCGCTGGATAACCACTGTCGCTCCGTTCACATTTTGCGGTCGTTGGAATAAACATATGTTACACATTTTCAGTTAACAGTGACGGTAAATACATGTACCTTAATTAATGACTGGTATTCTTCTTTCAGTCTCGCTGGCCATAGATCCTTGTCCCTTGGCCCTGCTTTAGTTTTGAGTAATGGAATATTACTTAGAGTTTTCTTGGTCACTGCGTCTACCATTTTTTTTTCCTTTTAACTTTCCGGAAGAGAAAAGATACGTTTTGTAGGATAGTCTTTGGTAAAGCCTTAATTTATTTAGTGTCGTCGCATACAATGACATAACCAAGCTCACTGGGTTGCTGTTGTTCTTTTTTTTATAGAATATTTACGCGTGGGGGGGGGGGGGTGTTTTAATTATTTAATTTCCCGTAATTTAAAGTTGTTGAGAACAACTGTAATCTAAGAATTCCATGTGAAACAAGCACCCGTGACTCTACAGTATGAAATCAATGAATAAAATCTATAAACAAGTTAAAATGTTTAACCCGTCCTGCATTGATATCAATAGGCTCATGGATAACAGATCACTGGTGAAATTTAGATGGAATAACTATGAGAATAGGCCGCGAAGTTCTATTTATATCAACCTATAAATAATAAAAGGAAGTAGATGGAGTAGATTCCATCAGATCAAACTATTTTTTGTTATGAACAAAGACTACTTTTATTATGGCTTTGTGTGTTCGATATACACAACACTAGTGCACACAAATCCACGTACGTACGTACACTACTGGCATGTATTGTGTTCACCATTTTCTGTCCAGGGATAATGCTAAACAGTTCGTCCTCGTGCCAGTTCGCCCCTCGCCATCTCGTTCCCATAAGGTTGACGTTTCGGTTCTCGTGCAGGCGGTGGTGGTGGGGGGGGGGGGGGGGGTGCAGCACCCACAAATCTCGTGGATCCATGCTCTGACACTATCATATATAATTCAAACGAGTGCAAAATTTAGGCATATACAGTACGAGAGGCATACTCCAAATTTCAATAGGCCGAAAACTTAGTTGGATAGGGGCACCTGACATGATAGAGAACTCACTTCAATCAATAATTTGGAAATTGTTCCTTGTCCAAAGCCTTTTGGGTTTAATTATGATGAACCATATTGTCAATGTCTTTGTACGTCACCTATTGTGCGAGCATGACAATGAGATAGGCCTAAACAGAACATGATTTGTATGGGGTAACCCCCCCCCCCCCCCCCTCCCACCATCCGGGGTCGGAGGTACCGCATTCGTGTTTCCGAAATATCTGGTAAAGGGGTACTTTTCGCGCGACGAAGTCCGGCCCGAGAATTGTAATAAAAGGGATGTATTCAACTTTTCAACCGGAGAATTTTTTTTTTAAGGGGATTTTTTTTCTTCTTCTCTCTCCGATTAGTCTCTCTCTTTGAATTCCTGAGAAATTTAACAAGGGAGTTATAAAATATCAAAAAGGGTGTGAATTCTCTCTCTCTCTCTCTCTCTCTCTCTTTGGACTCCTGAGAAATTAAAAAAGGGGTCGTAAAATTTATAATATCATAGATGGGGCGGGGGGGGGATTGAGTAGTGTTCCGGATATAGGGGGGTCTCCAAGGCAGTAAAAGCCCGCGAAAGGGGGGTTCATAAATGTTGGCAGTCCTGAGATGCTTTCAAAGGGAGGGAACAAGCATATAGTTACGTGTACCCTAAATAACACTGGGGGGGGGGGCAATAGGGCATTGAGTTTATTTTTAGAAATGTTAGGTAATATTAAAATGGCCCATGCACTTGAAAGTACAGAAAACGATAGTGCATGTGTGTGTTGTGGGAGAGGGTCGTTCCCCCTAGCTGGCTCCCTCGGAATAAATAATCAAATCTTACCACCTCATTGTGCCCCCTCCATAAGAGAAAAGAGAAAATCAAGAAAATGAAGTGAAATGTTTTTCATATATAACGTCGTTATAGCCCGGCGTTAAAGGTTGCTTTGGCTATAAAATATTGAGGGTGCACATGCCCCCGGGCAACAGGGAAGAATTTCGCTTTTGTGCACCCTGACCCACATGCTATTCCTTCTTTATCTTACTTTGTATTTTTCCTATTTCACTCTGTATACACCTATATACACTGTACATGCTGAATGTGTTTTTATGGTCGAATAAATAATAATAATAATAAATAATAATAAAATACAAATTCAACCTTCCATTTTTCTTGCTCGGCCGCCACGCTCCCTCGCAACTCATTATAAAAGGTTTTTCTTGCCCTCAGCTACCACAAGGCTCTCGAAAACGCGGGGGGGGGGGAGGGGTGCGGTGGGGATATAGAACGAGATGTTATATTACATACTTTACGAAAAGAGGAGGCTTCGGCCCCGTTCCCCTAGCAAGAAGAAAAAATGTTATATGACATCAAACATGCAATTTGCAGTTAACCCGGAAAAGATTTCTGGTCCCGTTTGAAATACTGAGTTTCCACGTACATTCAACCCCATTCAACATTCCAATATCATATTTTTTTCTCTCACTCGGTCTGTATATATATATATATATATATATATACACTCCCCATTTCTCAAAAACTGTAATGTAAAAACGCTTTACGTTACGAAAAGGCCCCTAAGTGTTCACATTTCCTCTATATAAAAGCCAAAGAGGAGAAGGCAAACCACCGTTTAGCTTTTATGTTGAAGAACTTGTTTAGAAAGGGCACCTGCATGTCTACAGTGGCCAGTTGTGTTTCCCTAATTGGATGACCTAGACAAGTTTGACTGTATGCGCGAGTATAGCGCAAACCATAGTATGCAAACAGATCGATGCTTTTCTTTTATTAGCGAAAAGGACAATGATGACAGGGATGAGGCAACACCTTTGTCACCCCTCTCACATAAGACAAAAAACTCTCCCTGTTGAGGCTAACATAATTATGCTCACTCTTATAATTATTATGTAAGTCTTTTTTCCCTTGTGACTTTATGTGTTTTTTTACCATTACAATACATGTCGATCTCCGATTACCGCTTTTCAATTTCACAGAAGCTATTTTTCTCGTTTAGTCGCTATAATTATACTCCTTCGCATACAATAATAAACTTTAATAATTTCGAGCTATATATTGTAGAAACTCTATTATATTAGGTGTGTGTTACTTTATAGATATACTTAAGTCCTCTTATGTACAAGAGAGTTAAGTTTAAATAGCCAAAGTCTTTTTTATGGTGTTTAAAAAAACACCCATTATTCTATTGTGTATGAAAGGAGAAATGGTGTTTGTTTTGGGGGAGCCTCTTTATGAAGGTAGTAAGAGCCGGGGGGGGGGGGGGGGGGCTCACTCACATTTGGTTTTGATGGGGGTGTGCCGCTGAAGCCTCGAAACACCTACCCCTGCTTTAAAGGTTCTTTTTGGCGGATTATTTTCGAAGTAAAGCCAATTTGTCAAAGTGTCAGTTAAAAAAGCGAATCCATGTTTAGGGGTATTTTTTTTTTTTTTTTTTTAAAGGGACCCATTAGAGCGGCACACCCCGGTTTGTCTTAATATGTGAGTACCCCCCCCCCCCCCCACCCGGAGTAAGAGCAGGAACATTTCATAGCTAAGTTTGTCAATGATCCATTCGAGGCGGCCCAAAAAAAGTAATAAATTAATAAATGAATTAATGAATTACTAAGTAAAAATAAACAAATAGATATATACAAAATATTAAACGAAATAACACCAAGTAAAAGCTCGAACGGTTTCATCGCTCCTGCAAGGCAGGATTGAAACTTTTCTCTCTACTTCGGCTAAAAGTATCTGAATGGATGGTGTATTGCATTTTATCGCGGGTTTTCCTATGTTACAGTTAATTGAGTTCACGTATCTGTATACATTTGATTTGTCCATGACAATTATTCTCTCACTAACAAAACAGAAGGCCTAAATTTCTTCATTTTTTCTCATAAAGCTTTTATCTATTTTGAATTACTTTATTTTTAGTACAATCATCTGACATGCTAGGAATATTTTGTATTTTCTTTTTTTTTTGTTTTTTTTTGTTGTTACTGCTTTGATGTTGTGATGTAAACATTTATCTTTTTGATATATTTTTTCCCATTTCCTATGTTGTTCCTTATATACACATGTTTTTAATGCTTTTTTTTTTATATGATTGTGTGCTTGATGTTAACTCACATTTTTAGTCTTTGGACTTTTTGACGAGATTGAATAAAACCTAATTTTGAAGAAGAAAACAAATCTCTTTGTCTTTTCCTTTTCCGGCTTTCTCCCATTGGCCCTGTGGAACGAAACGACGCAGGACGAGTTGTTCGGGTGTCGTACAAAAGTAAAAAATATTACTGTGAATCCGTCAGCAATATAGATGCGCTATACGGTTTACGTATCGTACGTTTACTTCATACACAGACGGCCATTTTGAACCTTCTTGTCTTGTAAGTAATGTTATCCTGTCAAAGTTATCCATCGTAATCTATGATGTTTTGAATTTATGTCTGATAATTTTGATGAAATTCGCATGATGTGTTTTGTGCAATTATAATACCATATGTTTTGATACTTAAAGTTGTAAAGAAGAACCCTAATTTTATATTTGAAAATTCTCATTTCTAATATGAATCTGGTTCAAGCTCGTTAATGAGATATGATGAAGGAGAGCCCCAATCCTATGTCTGCGCACCTAACATTTCGATTGAACTTCACGAAAATGTTGTATTGTATTGTCCATAATGTTGATCTCATCTTATTCCTTAAATCCTACAGAGTATGTATGCCCCAATTTTTTTCAAAATTCGAGCAAGAATGATGATATTTTCACAAGAAAAGGCGATGGTGTTCTGACGTAGCAAAACAAAGGTTTCCTTGTCTGCACACCCATTCACTTTACACGCAGTTCGGGGGGCGGTATTCTGACATTTCTTGTATCTCCAATATTATTGTTTCTTCACCACCTAACCGAAACTGCCATTCTAAAAATTATTGTAACTTTTCTTGTTACTTTGCTTGCATCTTTTGTGTCATTTCTCTAACAAAATGAAAAATGGAATCAAAATTCATGCATGCAAATGATTAAAGTAGGGAGGCCAATGCCCAAATCTAACTTTTTAATTACTAATTTGTTTATACTAAAACTAAGATTAAAAGAAAGCATTTACTTTCACTAAGAAAATCCACCCATCTGCCGACTCCAGAAGTTCCATCAAATAGGAGATATCCAGCTAGTTCCTATGAGGTTCCTTCTACGCCTTTCCGTACGTAAGAGCCTTGAAACAATTATATTTCATGTCGCAAAGTTACGTTCATAATTAGACAGGCCCGAGGGACAAAGTTCATGATGAAGTTTAAAACTTCGCGCGAAAGTGCAATCACTCAACAGCGGCTAGCCTTGAATCGGTCGCACACGTACAAACCTTCTTCTTCTTAGTAGGGTGTCTGAACGATTTTTCAATTTTCAATTTGGGATCGTTTTTCACCATTTTTGTTTGATATTTGAATAAAAAATGTTATCAGAATAATACATTTCAAATTTCAAGTCTCACCGATGTTTCTATCAAAAGTTACAGCCCCTCCAACACGCTGGTATATTCATATCATTTTGGTCAAAATCGACGAAAAAGACGTCCACGCAGAGTGATGTTGTTTTGCTAAATTTAGCCAAACAGCTGTATCGCGCGATATGCAAGCGTATGCATATCGTACGCATGCTGCTAAGCCAATCCGCGACTTGCAGCTTGAGCTAGGCTGTCTCCGCGACATGTGCGATTGACTAGTATGGTTGGCGTTCGTCGCACAATAAACCCGGAAGTGAATGCACGTTATAGTCAATGGCAATATCGCGGAGACAACGCACGTTGTCTCCGCGATATTGCCATTGACTATAACGTGTATTCACTTCCGGGTTTATCGAGGGAATTGCCAACCATAATTTCAGTCACTATAATTTGGGGTTTCGTTCGTGCGCGGAGATGTTACGCGATGTAACCATGGTTTGGACTGAGCGGAGCGCACGCCTCCTAATTAGCTGATCCACCAAATAGCGAGAAGGGTATTTTTAAACTGTTATCAGTTGTGATCCCTGGGGGCTAGCGAAAATATAATCACATAGAATTGTTCCTTAGGACTGGGACTACTTATCGATCGGGGCGTCATATCTCAAAAGTGACAAACCTCAGAGTTAGCCAGGACACAATGTTTAAATTGCTGTTTTGACCAAGATATTTTTAGAATTTCGGGGGCTACGCCCCTTTGGAAATATTGGAATTCACCTGCTCTTTCATATGACACCTCATTCATTGATTATCACCTTCAGGATCACAACTGATAAAGGTTTGAATCTCGATTTGAAAAAAAAAAATTGACTTTTTTTGCATGGTCGCGCAATGCACGTAGGCTGCATAGGGATGCGTGTAATCTCTATGGGAAGAATTTTAGCACACAACATCGGGTGCGCGATCAGACACCCTATTCTTAGTTGATCCCACCACCGACACAGGCAAGCCCCGATGCAGGCTGAAGTCCAGCCATCAATGTGCGAACGATTACATCTTCTACTACTACGAGCCGAAGACGATGGTTCAAAAATGAAGAATAGAAATATATATAATTCATTGATATTTACCTTAGATGTGCATTCCAATAATTTGATTTCCTCATGAGTATTCCTTATTATCAACGATCGAGAAGTTACGAGGTCCAATTAACATCCATCTTGCAGCGAACACAATCATAGCGCACATCCATGCATGCAACATACCGTACGTGTACTAATATTTCTCTCACTCTCTCTCTCTCTCTCTCTCTCCCTTTCGCTATACGTAACATACACACTCACTAACCATGTATCATACAACACACACGTTCAAATCATGGCTTTCATTTCAATTCTCAATTGGAGTATAGACTGCTCACATAGACTTTTTTTTTTACTGAAATATCTTTTTTAACACTTCTCATACATTACTGCACGACACTCGTATCTAGTGCTGTGAGAATAAGGTACTAGGGTCTATAAATAAGACTACGCTTTGCGCACGATCTGACCGGAGCTCAGATTATGTCGCAATACCCTTTATTTTTGGCGCGAACAATGACGTCACTGTTCACTGTTTTCCTTCTCATTTTGAGATGGATGTAGCTATAGGGCTCAAACCAACGCACGATTGACAGAAACATCGTACTCTATCTACTTTCGAATGTTCAGTTTGTAAAAATCTGTATTTAAAAAGATATAATCTTTTTTCTTTATATTTTCTAGTTGTTAGAAGTGGCAATTGTGAACATCTGAAATGTTGATCTCTATCAAAAGTTCTTTACTCAAAACGGATCCCATATTTTTAGGGTCTACCTTCTGCCAATGAGAAGGTTTTTAGTGAGCAAACCTCTACGCCCTCTAGGATTTTCTTAGTCGGTGGTGCGAGTGCGTCAAGGTCGTCTGCAACCACAATTATTGGATTAAAAAACGTCAAAATCTGCAAGATTGTCAACAAATGGTGAAAGACTGTTACAGATCCGTGATTATAGGTATGTTGTGAAATGTATAATTGTATTTTCTTTTCTTATTTTCTTCAATTTTTATTTTTACATCATTTTTTTCCCTTTGCTAATTTTTTGAAGTGGGCGACGAGCGCACAAATCGTAAGTGTAGAAGCCTTACGCCCGGGCATTGGCCTCCCTAATTAAAGCCACATTTATTTGATACAAAAGTTTGATGATTTACGATGTTATGCATGATCAATATCATAGACTAGAAACGAGGATCCTCTTCTTAAATGCAGACGGAGGCTTCCTAAAAAATATGGATCGAAAAATGGATTCCTTGATGTGCTCCTTCATTCATTTCAAACTTACTTTGCACAGCATGACAGAGACTTGTTACGAACGATAAATCCCCGGTAAGACGGAGTACCCATAAAAAAAGTAGACGTTAAACGGTATTTTATCACGCAGAATCCAATTTTTGCACTACCAGCGTGAAGATGGGGAAACTTTTATCTGCAGGACGCCATAGAAAAAAAATGATCTCAAAAATGCGGATGATCCTTTGATGAAATTTTCAATTTCGGATGTTTTTCACCATTTTTTTTTTATATTTGAATAAAAAAATGTAATCTAAATAATACATTTCAAATTTCAAGTCTCACCGATGATTCTATCAAAAGATACAGCCACTCCAAAACGCTGCAATATTCATATCGATTTGATCAGAATCGACGAAAAAGACGTACACGCAGAGTTATGTTGTTTTGCTAAATTTAGCCAAACGGCTGTATTGCGCGATATGCATATCGTACGCATGTTAGCTGAATGCGCGACTTGCAGCTTGAGCCACGTTGTCTCCGCAATATGTGCCATCGGCTAGCCATACTTTCATTCAGGTTTCGTTCGTACGCGGAGATGTTATGCATTGTGATCCCTTGGGGCTAGCGAAAAAATAAGCCCATAGATATATTCCTCAGGACTTGGACTACTTATCGATCGCATACATGCCAACTGTTCAGATTAAAGAGGAACATTCCTCTTTTTGGGAGAAGATAATTATCATTTTAATGCAGGTGTTCCTCTTCCTGTACAAATTTGTCTGTAAGTATTGAATAGGAGAGTTAGGATTGTTCCTCTTTTTTTTTAAAATAGCATAATTTGTACAGATTTCTGATTTTCAAATGTTGGCACAGGGAATAATTTTCCTCAAATTTTTTGATTAGCAATTTCAGCTGATGAATAAATATTTCAAATGAAATTCTGTACATTTCTATGGAAGAAAACTGCTACACAAAAGATATTTTGTATAGCAGTCATGCAAAAATGCATAGCAAATTGCGATGCGATACCAGGAAAATTATTCCCTGTGGCATGTATGCGATCGGGGCTGCATATCTCAAAAGTGTCAAACCTCAGAGTTAGCCAGGACACAATGTTTAAATCGCTGTTTTGACAGAGATATTTTTAGAATTCCGAGATGCAGCCCCTTTGGAATTATGGGGATTCACCTGCTCTTTCATATGACACCTCATTTATCGAGTATCACCTTCAGGATCACAAAGAATAAAGGTTTGAATCTCGTTTTGAAAAAAAAAAAATTGACCAATTTTGCATGGTCGCGCAATGCATGTAGACTGCATAGGGATGCATGCAATCTCTTTGGGAAGAATTTTAGGACACAACATCGGGTGCGCGATCAGACACCCTATTATGAGGATATCCTCTTTTAAGTGGATGATCCTCATTCGCACGCATAGGGGAAAATTGTGGTAAATGACGTGAAAAGGGGATGTACAAGTGTGATTTCAACATACACGGAGGATTTATATGCTTCATTTCGAGAAAAAAAGAAAGAAATGTTGCAACACAATCCAGAACAAAGAAAATTTCACAAAAATATTAACATACATGTAAATAGAGGACCCTGACCTGAGCCTAGTATGTTTCCGTAGTCTAGAGACGGATAATTTGGGTTAAATGTTTTGTTTTTATCAGAATCACGTAGACTATCATCACATGTACAGATTAGGGCCCTGCGTAAACATATTGTGCACTACCATACAGGTCTTTTGGTTATAACGTGTAGCTTGTGCCTTATTGTCATAGTCTTTCAGGCAATCTTGAGTTTTGCAAAATCAGACATTTTACTAGAACCTAATCAGGTTGTTAAAAGTTGATGAGCAAATCCCAAAGAAGATATTGAGTTTCGAGCTAATCAATGAGTTTTATTGATTTCATCCACAGAGAAGCTGGTTTGATGGCATTCCTGCAATAGTCGGGAGAGTTCTTGGACAATTCACCAACTTTTCTTCGAGCTGAAAAATTCTACTGGATCTATGCAGACTTCATTGAGCGATACATGTCAATACAAACTGCAATCTTGAACTGTGATATATCACCTTAACAGACTCTTCGCGCTAGAAGTTCAAAACTTCCGTGGATTGACTGGATTCTTAGCCATTTTAATTGCTGCTTGTTTCCTTCCCACCAAGCGGACAATTTGAAATTCAAAAATCTCTAAATTCCTCATGAAGCCTCTTTGAGGGGCTTCATTGTTTATAGCAGAATATATTATTTGTAAAGGTTGTTTTATATATTAATGTATATTTGTATATTTGCCAAAGATAATTTTTCCCCATTTTGTATGGGCAAAGTCGAATGGCACTAACTTGCCTTTTTTTGTGAACCTGTACTATTACATTTCTGGACAAGTTAATCTCAGGAAGTATCTCATCTTTAACTGAAATGTTCTTCTTATGACACCTGATGCAATTTTCATTGATAATATAAACGTATCACAAAAGAAGACTAAAATCAGCTGTCAATCAGGTTGTGAAACTCTTTGAAGACTTTGTGAAAACGGAACAAAACCTGAAGTGAGAAAAGACACTCTTTGCTATGGCAACAGCACCACCACAACTCAACCGCGTGATGAATAACAATCACGGGGCGAGGAGCCCGAACAGGGGGCAGCAGAACAACGACTCGAGGAGAGGAGATGGCAACCACCAGGGGAGCCACCAGGGCAACCACCAGGGAAGCCACCAGGGGAATCATCAGGTAAATCATCAAGGACGTGGAGACAGGAACGGACCCCACCAGCAGCGAGACGGGCCAGGTAGCTACCATCATGGACACTACGGAGGGTACAGGGGGAGCGGAGGCTACGGCAGCAGACAGTATTCAAGACAGAAGGACTTTGAGAGACCAGCACCTAAACCAGCTGCACCACTTCCAAAGCCATCACCCATAGACATGGAGTAAGTCCCATTCTCTCATTTCACCTTTCCATGGTAATAATGATAATAATAATGGTGGCTTCTTATATAGCGTCCGTCGAGTTCGTGACGCTCCTGGTGCTGCTCCGATTATTATTAGCAAGGCGGCCATTACGGCGCTCTAGCATTTCATGATGTTCTACTTGTGTACCTTTCCATGATATTCTATCAGTCGTGATCTGACATTTGCTTCAGCGTAAATTGCTGAAGTCCAATGTAGACATTGTATGTAATTTCTTGTTTGGAAATAATAAATCAGAACTGCATATACCGAGATTTCCATCGTTGCAGCTACCCATTGTATGGCCGTAGGCGCTATTTGAAATTTATCGGGAGCACCAATAAATTTGATATTTTAATTTCTCAAAATCCTAAGCCTTCCCAATTTTTTTCAAAGTTGCTTATTCTAACACTAGGTTTCACAATGGTAGAGTACATTTTAGATTTCATAATCCAATCCTGTTTAAATATTAACAATACTTTGTATTACTTTAAGCACTATACAAATGTATTTATTATCATTATTCTGTTTCACAGTGATCCAGACTGGAAAGAAAAGCTGGCAATCCCAGATAAGGATAGAAGAATTAGAACCACAGTAAGTATAGAATGGAATACCTCCGATAAAAATGAGTCCCAACTTCATCAAATTCAAAACAATTTTGAAGTTGTCTGAAAGATAACTACATGTTTATATTACCTTCCCGAGATTGAACCTAGCTTCCAAACAATGCTGTTTTAACAATGGCTGTGAAGTAGATATTAGACAACTGGTATGCACCTTATCTCTGTTGATTTTGTTGGGTGTTCTTTAGTCCGGTTATGGGGAGAAGGACGTTGGTTTCCATGTACAGAAGGTCGTCGGTTTTCATGTACAGAAGGTCACAATTCGCCAACGCTATAATTGGTAGAAATACCATAAATGGATGTACAAGTCTCCCACCCTGCAAACCCGTAGTCCCATCAAGAAATACCCCCAGTTCCGTGGCAGTCTTCGGATGAGGGACATGTAAGATAATGACTTTTCCATATTGGGCGATTGGTGGAAAATTCACAGCGTTACCAAAGGCCTGTTGGTCATAAAACTGAAGGCTAATTCTGGTGATTTACAATTTGATATCACCCGTTATTAGGTAAACACCCGAAAAAGGCCATTTCCCAACGAGAGCCCAATACCTCTGTGACCTCTCAAATCTTTCTGGCTCTATCTCTTTCATGAACAGCAAGTCATAAGAAATCATTAAAAAAAAAAATTCTTATCATCCAGTCTATTTCGGTGAAATCTTTTAGCAGACGACATACATTTTGAGGGGTCAGTGACACAGACGTAACTCCATTTTGGCCATTTTGAGAAAAAGTGGTTTATGTGTCACCGAGCACTTGGGCCTTAAGGAGTAAAGTCTATGTTTCACTAGCCATTGACTTCAATGGGATGTTGGGTGGAGTAAGTCTTTGTGTTTCGTGGAAAACCCACATTTTTCTGAACATTTTGATATCAAATACTTATTTTGTCAAAATATGGAGTTACGTCTTTGTGTCACTGAACCCTTGATTAATTGTTTTGTGTCCAATCCCTACAGGATGTGACAGATACCAAAGGAAACGAATTTGAGGATTACTGCCTCAGTCGCCCCCTGCTCATGGGCATCTTTGAGAAGGGCTGGGAGAAACCATCCCCGATCCAAGAAGAGAGCATTCCTATCGCCTTGACCGGACGAGACATTATGGCCAGGGCCAAGAATGGGACCGGCAAGACCGGGGCATATACCATACCCGTCCTGGAAAAGACGAACACAGAAAACAATTTTATTCAAGGTAAGATCGTGTTCGAAATTGGAGAGGAAATGCTAAATTGGCCATGTTCGTAGTGTAACCAACTTTAGTGCTTATGCAGGGAATAATTTTCAGCAAAAAAATTGCATAGCAAAACTGCTATACAAAATAATTTTTGCATAGCAGTTGGATAAATTTGTATCGCAATTTTTTTCTCATATAGCAAAGCGCACATTTTCTGCCCACTACAATAAGATGAATGTACATGTAAACATGGTGGGTGTACTCACATTTCTAGTCCTCAAATGGATATGGCCACTTGCTGCTGTGACAGTAAACAAACAACTCCCAGGTACGATCATCGCGCACATGCGATGCATGTAATTAGATCCCACGTGCATTGTCATTGCATTGTGCAATGATCGCGCGAACCATGCCTCAAAACAACAATCGCGGTTAGAAGGTGATCGTAACATGCCATGTGCTTGCGCGACAATGGGTGTATGTGTATAAGCTTCACGGTTAGAGAGTGACTGCAGTATACTTCACGCACAGTAGTTACGCTGTAAATGCAAACATACAAGTGTGAGTGAGTAGCCAATTTCGCGATCGCCGGCCCTGTATTCTGATTACAGGGCCGCGGCGATCGCGAAACGGGCTACTCACTCGCACTTGTACTGAGGTGTGATGAGCTAGCCTAGTAATTCAGATTATTCAGTTCGCGAAACGGGCTTCTCACTCGCACTTGTACTTGTACAGAGGTGTGATGAGCCCGCCCTTAAACATGTATGTTTGCATTTGCATCGCAGCAATTGCGATTCATAAAAAAAGATGTGTAGCAAATGGCTGAAAATGCGTCGCAAATTGCGATGCGATACCGGGAAAATTATTCCCTGATATGTCTTTGTAAAGTGCCAACTATTTTGTTCACCTGTTACAAATAATTGTATTTCAATAGTCTGAACGCGAGTTGCATACACTAGTTCTTGCTAGGTGATAATAATTGTATTACATTTATAAGTGCCTTTTCATTAGATCCAAAGCGCATAAGGACAAATATGACTTGCCCAACCTAATAACACATGCAATTTGCATTCTAACTATTCAAATACAATTATACGAAGGGTGAATGAAATATTTGAGTCAAGGCACTAGACGTAGATATGCATTCAATTTGGTTACATTACGAAAATGGCCTATTTGTGATAAATCATTAGTGTATCTTTGAAAGTTTTGTGAACGCTATTGAATTTGTCTCCTGTAGACTGTTAATTATGCATGTCCATTTGTTCAGTTGACATAAACCTCTTGGGACAGTTAATATTCCTTTTCCATTCCCATTTCCTTGCCTCGCACTATGAATAACCTATATATTACTGACAACATCAGATATTTTAGTATACCTGATGTTTATTTGAAATACATGGTTTTTACTACAGCTGATATCAGATAAAAGATAGTTTAATAGGGTGTTGTATTGCCCCCAAAAGGCAAGTAAACAATTGATGTGAATTAATTTGCCCATCTTTACATTCAGGATACATTGACAACAAATTAAATTTGTATAAAGTGTGTTCAAAATGCCCCAGTGTTGCTGACCATTGTTTACATCAGTGATGTCAGTGTCGAAGTGGGCATAGAGTAACTTCCCCCATATCCTTCTCAATTAGCTGGATATCCTGGTATCCAGTTTGAAGGATAAAGGGTACAGTCCTGACAATGCAGCACACACTCTTGCTGCATTGCTCTGGGATTTATATCATTAAAACCAGGTTAAGGCTTTGATATGGTTTATGATTTTATGTTAACCCTTTCACTACTTGAATGCTCTCGATGCCATATGCTTTATGCAGGAGCCTCCCGGTTTCAGTAGGCAACAGGGTATAATATTAATAATAATAGGAATTCCTTCCTACCTGTCCCCATTTACATGTATGTACATACTTGTGACCCGCCCATATGATTGCACCTATATTATTTGAATTGCAATCAGCCCTTATGCAAGTAATTCAACAAAATGTTTGCGTTCAAAACTTATACACTTTTTTTTCCCCCATCATTTATTAATTGAATAATACGTACATAAGAAACACAAAATTATATTGATTACAAAGAAAAACACATGAATTATACTTATATCACAAAATTATTATTATTTTTTTTTTTGTCTCTTCCTGTTCCACAGCTTTAGTCCTTGTCCCAACGAGAGAGCTGGCTCTCCAGACGAGTCAGATCTGTAAGCAGCTGTCAAAGCACACGGGCCACAATGTCATGGTCACAACGGGTGGTACAAGCCTAAGGGACGACATCCTCAGACTGGAAGACCCAGGTAAGAAACACCCTTGTAGTCTGCATATACTAAAATTGTTAGGGACTTTTTGCACAACGGCGCAAGTGCTGACTACTGGGTATTTAAATGAGCTGTGAGCCCCGTACTAGCTTGACTCCCGACGCTTGTACCCTCATAGGTTTGGACGCTACACAGAAACTTGTTTGCTCTGAGTAGGACCCCCCGCGAAGATTAGCGTTTTAGAATTAGCGTTGTAGAATGCCCCATTACCGGTTGCGAAAACTGCCTATTGTCACATAGGGTGTCACAAGTCTAAGACATCACATCTTCAGACTAGAAGACCCTGAGACAACCTTTATACATATAGTAGAAGTACAGGTAGTTTTTGTGTAGCACTTGACATTTATAAGACACAATTTTAGGGTCTCAACGGGTGGTAGAAGCCTCGGACACGATATCCTCAGACTGTGCATGAGTGACTCAGTTTGCCGGGCCATATCTGAACATTAATTAACTGCCATGTATGTATTCATTATGTAGTTATTATGTTTTAATGGAATTGAATGGTATTTCTACCAAGTCAGTTGTGAGCTTATTATAAAAAACTGGCAGCTTAGGCCTGAAGAAGTTGGCATTATTGGTGCTTTAATGCTGTGTTTATAGGTGCTTTAATGTTGTATTAATCAGTGCTTTAATGTTGTATTTATCGATGCTTTAATGCTGTGTTTATCAGTGCTTAAATGCAGTGTTTATGTTTCCTTTCACCAGTTCACCTTGTGATAGCTACACCTGGGCGTATTCTTGATCTCATGAAGCAGAGCATTGCCAAAATGGACAAGTGCAGTGTGCTGGTGTTAGATGAGGTAGGTCTATCTTCTTATAGTAATACAATGTTGAATTCTTGTAAAGGTGAGCTTTCTCTATCTTTTTATGTTCAGTTGGAAACAAATGTAGAAAAAAGCTCATGCAAAAGATGGCTCTTCAAATGTGATGAAAAATAACTGAAAAGTTTGGACGAACTTCCCTATGACACGAGTAGAGTGCGTAGTCCATATACACGATTTTGGAACAATGCATTTGACTGTCGGTAAGATTTAATTTCTCATAAATTTGATGATTCAAAAATCTTTCCCACTTGCTTACATAATCTCATTTCGCAGCATATCTGGAGAAGCCATCCCCCCCCCCCTTTTTTGTGATGACCAGCCATAAAATAGGATTACCTGGCTCTGTGCTGCCCTCTTGTGCTGAGAGAGAGAGAACATTTATACGTGATAATACACCAGTTTACGGTGGTGTGCGCCATTTTCAATTGACGAGTAAACAAATCCAATGACCTCTAGAGGTCAGTGGTTTGTGCATAATTAAGATTGCGCCCATGCAAATTATGATAACATCACTGCCTGCGCGCTGCGCTGTGCGCTCACATCATAATTTGCATGGGCGCAATCTTAATTTACGCACAAACCAAATGACCTCTAGGTCATTGGCTTTGTTTACTCGCCAATTAAAATGGCGCCCATGTCTACACATGCGCACTGATGTAACCATAAACTGGTGTATTGTTGTATGACCTAGTAGTACAGTAGAGGGCAGCAAATTGCTATTCTACCATGAACATTGGATGAGTAGGTACGTGTATGTGAATGTGTATTTCTCCTGCATGTGGTAATGGCTTATCATATCGCCCTTTCTTTCCTCTGCCAGGCTGACAAGTTACTGTCTAAAGACTTCCAGAACATGCTAGATGACATCATCAGCTTTCTTCCACAGGATCGACAAATCATGCTCTACTCTGCAACCTTTCCAATCACAGTCAAGAACTTTATGGTGAGTCAATAGACCAGTTCGTATGCAGGTAGCAGATGTATAAATGCTAGTCCCGCTTTGTGCGCTTTAGAATAATCACTGCCAAATTGATGGAGGCGCTTCATCAATACCTTTTGTTTTTCCCCTCTGTAAATGAATATTTACACCTGTGTATCATGTACCGTTGATCTGCCCCTGCGGAGAAAATCTGAAAGTGAATTGACTCGAGTTTCTAAATAGGTACCAAACTCTCTTATCAGGGATGCCAATTTTCAGGCAATAGCCTGAATTTAGGCCCTGGCGAGTTATTTTCAGGCCATAGTTTAGGCTTTTTTGTGTACAAAATAGCTCATTCTAGGGGATTTGCAGGCCCTCTTGACCTATTCTTACTGCCATCCCTGCCTTATAAAGACTGGGTTTTCAAATAACTCATGCCTGAAATCTGTACATGATAAGTATAGTAGCGTCTTCATGTATGTGTGCACATCTATGAAAAATAATTTGATTTGTTTCAATAGGATCGTCTAACATTGTGATCTAATTATATGTTCTTCGATGTTATTCTTGCTGCGTTACATCTTGGCATCACTTTTTCATGCAATTTCCTTTGTAAATCAAACAAAATCCCTCCTTCTTTCTGGAACTGTAATAAAATATGTCGAATGAAAAGAAGTAATACAACTTTGTTTTTTTCTTCACAGGATCGTTACTTGACCAAGGCATATGAAATCAACCTCATGCAGGAATTAACCCTGAAGGGTATCACTCAGTATTACGCTTTTGTGGAGGAGAAACAGAAAGTTCACTGCCTTAATACTCTCTTCTCTAAGGTAAGAAAGAAAAATGGGATAAACGTGGTAATAAAATATACCATTCACTGCGAGGCTCCGGTTGAAATTATGGATTCTCTGATGTGACTGGCATAGCCACTGTAGCCACTACACCAGTCGCAGGTGATCCGTAATTTTACCGGCGCCTCAAAAAGAGTGCATGGTATATTTAATTTTATATCCCTCATCAGAAAATGAGAAACTGAATGTGTAAACTAAAAAGAAATTCATCTGAAAATAAATATCGACTCACACCTTTTTCCCAAATACCCACAGAAACGCTGTCCGTGTCACAGTGGCTGTAATGGAGGTATCCCTATAGACCTATCAAAGCCATGCAGTATCCATTTTTGTCTTCATGGTAGAAGTATTGTATGTTAGGCACTTCAAAGTGATATCCTGGTGAACTGCCCAGGAGTTAGTAATTTCTTTTTCATCTTTCTTGTTCATCTTTATTCAACGATATAAAAGAAAATAGTACAATGCAATAAAACATATTGACATAATCATATACATGTGTAAAATAACATATTGTTAGGGGCAACCAAAAAAGATCAGGATCTTGTGGACTGGTTCTTGCCTACAGTATTGACCAATCAGAGCCCTGAAATCTTGATATTCAAACAATTTTATCTTCTCCACATCTTGAAATATATATATTTTTTGTCTCTACTTTGTTGCCACTTTTGAAGGTAATATTCATTTTGTGATGTCCTTTATTTCTTACCAGAATTACAAATAAACCAAGTGATAAGTCTTCTGAAATACGACCCAATGTGTCTAGCTATTATTCATTTTGTATTCTCCTTGATATCTTAATACCCTAGTTGCAAATCAACCAAGCGATAATCTTCTGCAATACGACCCAGCGTGTGGAACTCCTTGCCAAGAAGATCACAGAGCTTGGCTACTCCTGTTACTACATCCATTCACGCATGCAGCAGGAACATCGAAACAGAGTATTCCATGACTTCCGCAACGGCGCCTGCAGAAACCTTGTCTGTACAGGTATGTTTCCTTCAAAGATGCCAAAAGACACTTCACAGTGCCAAATTGTTTTGTGGCATGAGACAATATCGCTTCTGGAAACATTCGTGAAATATTTGAGAGTTTAATCATGCATATGAAAGATTCTAGCTTAAATCAGCTTTAATTTATCAAGAGATAGGCTTGTGAAAATTTAAAGGGAATGGATCTTAAATCCACAGAGAAAAACCTGAAGTAAAAAAACGAAGACAGGAGTTTGGATATTGTATTATTTTTCTTTGGAAATGAGGGCCAATTTGTGTGATAAGCTGTTGATGAATGAACTCCTTCAGACTTGAATCTGTTATCTTAACACCTAGAGTGAAGACCACTAGTGAGATATTTAGGACCGTGTTTTATCTCCATCCTCTCAGTTCAGACTTGATATTTCATATAGAAGTGTACAAATCTCCTGAAAATAAAATTTGTTTATAGTTAAAATGAATAAAATCAACATGAAAAACTATACCTGGCATACTATAGGTAAGGCATTCTATGTGAGTTGACCAGTCTACTCAACTAGACATTTTACTGTTCACTGAGAATGTACTAATATTAGCATATCTCTTTGTAAAAGTAACATGTGAAGCTCATATTTTGAATACAGTATGGAACCCCTTACATCGAAGAAAACATGTTTTGACAATTTGTAATCTTTGATAACACCGCGAACGACAAATACTAATGAGATCATTTGGACTATGTTTATCTCCATCCTTCAGACTTGTTCACCCGCGGTATCGACATCCAGTCTGTCAACGTCGTCATCAACTTTGACTTCCCGCGCGTGTCGGAGACCTACCTCCACCGCATCGGTCGCTCTGGACGTTACGGCCACATGGGACTGGCCATCAACATGATCACCCACGACGACCGCGTCCCCATGTATGTCATCGAGAAGGAGCTCTCGACCAAGATCGTTCCCTTCCCGTGCAAGGAGGCCGTCGACAAGAGGCTGTACGTGGCAGAGTACCAGACGGAGGAAGAGATCGGAGACGGATCCGGCTAGATGACTGGAGAAAATCATAGGAAAATTGAGTTTAAATGTCAAACAAAATACGCCCAATTAAGTCACATTCGATTTGAACGAAACAGATACTGGAATTCTCTTTATTTTTTTATTTTTTTTCCGCGAAAGATGCTAGGCGAGGATACTTCAGGATTGGCTAGTGTATCATAGAGACATTGGAAGTGAAGATAGGGCATCAATTTATAAGATAATGTTGAGATGTGAGTGATAATGATGCCTAGATTTAACATGTTGGTACAATGAAGACGTATGAAATGTCTCTATAAGTTGGTATGCGCAAAACTGAAAAGTCTAGTTTTTGAGGTATGGTTTACATGGCAGCATAGATTGCAAGCCAGATCATAGGAAAATTACTTGGAAAAGCCTCTTTTTTTTCTTCATCTTTTCGACATGGATACCGATTGAAAAAAAATAAGAATGGCTTAGTGTGATTTTAATATCTCTTTAGCAATCTCCAATAGTCCACTCTTCATACAAACATGGCAGGGTCCATTGTGAAGAATCTGCTGAAATCCTTTCATTTGATTGGATATGGGCAGATTTGTCATTGATAACAAGTCTTATGAAACGTGGCCCAGATCTGTTTATATTAGGATACACTTGCAATGGTGCTAAACTGCAAGATGCGTTCTAAGCGCAGAGTTGAGAAGGTACTTTTTTAAGCTCAAAGAAAACGAGTGAAAATTGTTCTAGAGAGAGGATATCTCGGCACAAAATCTCTCTTTTTGTTTCTTGACTTTTTTTCTTCTTTTCTTTTCCTTCCATTTCCAATTCAGAAAAAACTAATGAAATTGATATGAACCTTGTGCAATTTTATATTTTCTTTTAATTTTTCTTTAATCACTCATATATAATTTGTAGAAGGATTGCGAAAAAAGTCAAGTGTATCACGATGCACTGAGACGGTGTAACATTGTGAAAAAAGGTGTTATTTTACCACAAGATATCTTTTCTAAAAAAAATGAATTTACATGAAAAAAAATGGACCAGAAAGTGGTCACTATGAGAGTGCCTTCTTAGCTCAAACAAAAGAAAAAAGGTTTCACAAATGCACATCAAAGTCAGATGTAAGTGTGCATTTAGTGTCCAGTTTCGTAAGGTAGAGTTTTTGTTTTTAACGTTTTGTTTTGTTGTCTGTGACCCCTGTTTTTTTTCTTCCGTAGGATGTGATGCGGCATTGCTAATTGCAATATGTTACTTGGTCAGTTGGTCATTTGAGTTTCCCAAAGATAAGTATGAATTGTGCAGACTAGCTCGCTAAACCAGAGCAAGCGCACCTTTTGTGCTGAGATTGTACTTAAATAAACCTACATAGGAACTGAAAGAGAAGGGGAGTGGATTTTCCAAGCAGAAACAAAGTCTGAAATTCTCCAAATGAGCTATCCACTTTATATTCAGCATGTGAGTAAACCATGACTCTGCATTTGGATGACTGTTCAGCGTCATTCGCACATTTTTTATCATGCTGCTTTTTTGCTTCGCGTGAACAAATGTTTTACTGCTCCAGACTTGACCTACTGATGGCATCAACTCAAATCTGCAATGTCAATGCCGTCTCATATCCGTTCAGGTTGATATCCGACATTAACACTTTAATACCACACCCCTTAGAGCCAGAGGAGAATAGGTATGCACCCTGTAAGAACCCTTGGTCTCTGTATAACACTTGGGGTTCCTATGGTAAGTCATGGACAAATCTGGAAAGTCATGGAAAAATAAGTACTTTGGAAAATCATGGAAAGCCATGGAAAATTGATGAGAAAAAAAATCTCCCAGAGTTATGGAAAGTTATAGAAATTGAAAGGAGGCAGAGGCCACCTTAAACATAAAATAATATGCATCACTGTGTGGTATTTGTACACAGCTTGGATGCCGCGACCCATGATACAAAAATGGTACTTGTCTGGTCATGGAAATCGGTTTCATATTTGTATGGAAACCCTGAACACTATAACATCAGGATCCAGTCATGTACAAGTCTATCAAACAGAGAAAATGTTCTTTAAGAACGTGACTGATTGGGACACTTGCTGTATCTCTCCCACCTTGGGTTATTCCCTCTTGTAGAGGCGCCCATTTGAGACTCCTAAACCAGACGGACATGGCCAGACATGAAAACACAGAAATTCTAAAGAGTAAATTTGATGACAAGTGAACCGTTTGTTACTTGTTTCGGCTGTCACACCAAGAGTTCAGGTGTTTGAGGAAAAAAGTAAGAAAGAAGGAAAGGTTTTGCTGTTCCTCAGTTTATTTGATAAACAGATTTCTTAATCGGCTCCTGTAGATTGTAAATTCTGGAACAGGAACCCTAACTTGACCATGCTGCTTGCCTTAAAGTATTAGTTTACCTGTTTTCCTCTGGCTCTTAGCTGACGTAATATTGTTACCTGATGTAATCTTAAATATGTGTTCAGCAGCCTTTCCATATCGGACTGCATTGTACTAGAGATGTATGTGTACAGTGCTTTTAAGTATGATGTGTGGTTGTGAATGAGTGAGTGTAAGAGAGAGAGAGAGCGAGAATGTGTGTCGGTGTGATTTCCAGGTGAAATGGTGTTTTGATTCGTGTGATATGATTACTCTTACTACTCTTAGCTCCAGAGCCAAGACATGACAATCAAGACGAAAATGGATCCGTTCAGTATTAAAGTGTATGTGAACTTTTGGCACTCCCATAGATAGAATACAGGCTTAAAAATGTCAAGATACTTATAAGATTTCAGCTACCAAACCTTTTGCTGATGCAAGGAATGATGCGAGGAATGTGCCCATACGCTAGCCCCTACTGGGAAGAGAAAGCAACCGCGTTGTACTATAGTAGGGTTCTGAGAACACTGGAAATGATCTGATTCTTTGCTTTCGCTCTGGAGCTAAAGAGTGGACGTGTGTGTATGTAGGTGTGATTGTTGGTGTGTGTTAAGTCCATCCATTCCTTCTGTGCATATACATGCTTTTTTATGAGCGAGATATGCCAAATCTCCCGGTTGTGTTCATGTGCAAGATGAAGTCTGCGAACTGACAAATCTATCCTTGTTTTTGTACTCCCTTCAGAAAAGGGTTCACTTTTTTTTTCTTCTTCATATCTTGTCAACTTTTATGAAGTGGAAATGTTAACTAATTGACGTTTAAATGATTAAATGTAACAAGTAATTCAGGCTATTGCAAGTTACTCTAGTATGCTGTACCAGTAAAAGGTCATCACTCCATATCATCATTTTGGTGAAAGGTTAAAAATGGCTTAAAATCTCTCTGTAGCGCGTTACACCTTTCTTGCACTGATTTAAGCAAGCCCTCCATGAAATGGGGTGTGTAGTGTGTCTTGTTTTGCTTGAAAACACGATTGAAGCATGCATTCATGATGGAACATGCAATCAACAATTAGACGGAAGGAACTCGGAATGGGAAGGATTTCAGCGTGCATACCGGCGTCCCGGAAGAATTGAACAAATGCTTTGAAATATTGACAACCAAAGAAACTCTGCATAACATGATGAACACCGGACGTGGAGAAACAGGATTGCTATTACCACAACAGGAAATCCAAGTCGGGAAGTAAATTAGTTGAACTTTGAACTCGGAAGAAAGCTGTGGATGGTGTCTCCAGAATGAAAATAAAGAAGAAGGATGTGAATGAAAGATGAGCATTTGAAAGTGATATTGACACTTTGGAAGGAAAGGTAAAAATTGGAAACGAGCAAGATGAGAAGTGGATCGGAAATGGAAAGTTGTTTTTACTTCAGATGAACAGACAGTAGCAGTTTGGAGATGTTTGAGAGTAATGATCCAATACCAATGGGCAACGCAGAAAGGAAGCAATGCTGCAGAGCTATGAGACATGCACTAAGATTTTAGGAGTGGCTTAAGGAATGAAGTCTGCATATAACCAACCAAGCCAATTACGCGACTACCTGTATGTACTTGGTGAATGCTATGCAACTATTAAGCAAAATTATTGGGACAAGATAGAAATCGGATGGGGCATAGAGAGCCAGCTAAGATGAATTAAAGTGATCTAAGCAGCATACTAGAGTAACTTTTCCTCTTGTGAGGAGTGTATTCTGTTCAACATAAATGTAAAACATGTAAATAGAGAAATACTACTTCAGAGAATTCATTCATCATCATAATGATGAGTGTTATTGTTCCAGAATACACAAGTAGCCTGAAATACTTTTTGGGTACACCCTCCCATCCTATTGTACCGCCCTTTTCTCATTTGTGTTTCTAGTGTTCTGTCCCAGAACAATGGAAATCATGAGGCACCCCCCCCCCCCACCCCCTCCCCTTCCCCTCTGGCACACCTGATAGGTTTGTGTTGGGGGAAGAGGGAGGGGGAACGTTAAGCTTTTGCATGACACATACAAATTGATGAGACACCTGACTTTAAAAAAGGAAAGATTGCTTCCTTCATTGAGCTAAGTCAAAGTTTGGGAAGTGTGTTAAATGGAAAATGTGAAACTGAAAAAAAAAGAGAAGAAGATAAGTCAGGTGTCTCATTGATTTGTATTTTTTTTTTTAATGCGAAGACTTGAGGCATCTCTCTCGGGTCTTTGTATTCACTAAATAAAAGCGCCATCAAAGGCCTATTGTGTTGTAATATCTCTATTTCCCTCTGTGTGTGCTATTATACACACTCATATTGAAACATGTGCACAAGAGGAGGTGGTGATTGTGTGTGTAAGCAATGATTGAAATGTTGGGCAAAAAAAGTGTGTTCTCACAATCGTGGCATTTTGCAGATGACTGCTTGATGTATTTCCATGCTGAAAGAAGAATATTTTCACATTGCCAGCCTCTGTGTGTACGTAGGACACACAGGGCCCATTCACACAACGGTCGAAACATCTCTGTGGTGTAACCATGTTTTATGTAGCCTAGTGTGAATTGACCTAATGAGGGAAATGGAAGATAAGTGTTGGTTATGTCATGAACCATACTAATTACTAGTTGTATACATTGGGAAACAAAGTCCTTCATGTTAATTGCATTATATGATACGTCATTTGAGGAGAAGAGATGCTTTCGCATTAGAAAAGTAGTTGAGGGCTTTGTTCATCCTCAGTGTACATAAATAGTATCGTGTTGACTTCAGTAAAGTGTTCAAGCTGTTGTCTAAGATGAACATTTTACTGACTTTCAACAAACATCCTATTTCATTTTGATGGTATTCACAACATAGTTGTAGATTTTGGTGTAGAACAGCAAGTCCTGGTTTTTTTAAAACAGAAGTGGAAAAAATTAATCAGGTTGGTGCCCATACAGAGACAGAAAAGCATGGACAAAGAAATGGTAAAAGTCCTGAAATTGCCAGTGGAAAATAGAAGAAGCTGTTGAACATATTCATAACAATTGTGTTGTAATGACCATCAAAATGTTAAATATTTTCTTATGCTAGAGATGCAATTCTCTAACATCATGTACTGAAGACCATTACATGCAAGACTGGTGAAAATACTATCTCATTTCTAGAACATGTTTGTACCGACTTAAAGTCTGCCTGTGTGCTTATGGTGCTTCTTTACAATGCACAGCTAGAAGTGATATTCACCAGTCTTCAGGCAGCAATCAATGAACAGTGTTAGACCAAAGTTGGACTGGCTCGTCCTGGTGGGGTGGCAATTGAAATTGTACAACTACAGAGTATTCCCCTGCCCATCACTCTTGGTTTCTGTGTTCAGGTACACAATATAGCAGGCCTGTGGGACCCTGATACATTTCCACAGGTTAAAAAGCTCTTACTGTCCATCAAGAGCTTACAGACCAAATGACACCTTGTTGGTCAAAATCTTATCTTAGTTTGCAAAGTTGCCTTTCACCTACACACCAAAATCTGTGTATTTTGTTCAGGTATATGTTCCGTTGAGACCATGTCTGGCTCCGTTTAAGGAGAAGAGAAAATGAATTAACGTTCACAAATCTGTAAGAGGCTGTTCTGTCAACTGCTAAATCATCAGAGACAGGTTTAAAAGTACAGGGACGTGTTTTGTCTGACATATATTTGGAATCCATCTAAACATGTAATGTGAACTCCAAGGCAACTTTGCAAAATCTGTTTTATGTGATTTCATGAGAATTACAGCGTTGCAAAATGGCATTGGCCTAAAACTGTATTGCTCTTGAAATGCGAAATAACCTTGTTTCATTCTCTGGTGAGTTTCCAAGTAAGAGGTGAAGAATTTGATATGTGAAGAACCCCTTCATCCTAACATGGTGCATTCATAATGAGAATTAATGTTGCTACTGTCAGTGTGACATGACCAATCAGTATAATTGTTTGATGCCACTAACTATATCAAACATAATAGTATCATATGCTCCTCATGAGCCTGACGTTGTATGTAGATCATGCAGCAACCGGGACTGCATGGCGATATTTAGAAGCCAAAAAAAAGGGTCATTGTTGATTTTCAACAAAATTTTTCACCTCTTACTTTGAAACTCTGAATTATGTACGGAAGGTGTATTGAGAACTTGTTCCTTTATTCCCAAGGCATCACTGTGAGGGCGACATTACATTAGCTCAAATGCCTTGAGAATGAGAGACGCAGAGTTCCAAGAATATTTCCCTTCAGGGAAGTTGGATGGTTCACGAATTAGGAAGGAAATCCCAAACATCCTTTGAAGTTATTCTAACTATGATGTGCTTTTGTCCAGTCCAGTCGAATCAGGGCCCCATTGCATGAAACTTTCCATTGATGGTAACTTTGCCATCAATGGCAACTACCATGGTAACAGGGCTCAACAGCCAATCAAAATCAAGGTTTCCATGGTAGTTACCATTGATGGCAAAGTTACCATCAATGGTAAGTATTGTGCAACCTGATTGGTAACTCAATACAAGCCATCGTATACTCAGTAGGATGCCTTTCCTTGCTATGCAGTGGAGTCCTGAAAATGATCACTTCACACATGATAACTGAAACTTTTCTTTGAATATGATATTTGAACTAAGCGGTTATCAGTAACACTTTGCCCTGGGTTATTCAAAGCAGTTTGTTACTGTGAGGTTTTCAAGATTTCCATTCGATCATCAGAAAGTAATCGTGTAAGAATCACTCGGCTAAACTGTCAGTGTACTGTAGCTATTTCTGAAGTGATCATTTTCAGACGTAACCATCGTTGAATATTTTATTCTCTGTTCAAGTGTCGAGACTAGTGTTCAAGTTTAACAATCATGACCAGAGTTTCCCCATGTTGCACTATGGTTAATACAAGTGGTATATTACTGTTTTTCTTTGGAGGGGAGGGAAGATAAAGTCATTTACTTCAGTTCTCACTAAAGAGATAACGGTAAATGTGACTTTTTTTTAAATTTCTGATTGAAAGTATTTGTAATCGCAGACTTTTAGGTACCACAAGGAATCCACCTTGTCATTTCTATCTAACTAATTAATTCAACACACAATGAATGTTCTTGTGACCTTACTAGATAATAGTCCTGAGAACATTCTGTGTTTTCAGGAAGGATTTTTATATCATTGTTTTTTTTTTAAATTTTATGTAAGGACATCAACAACTTTGAAACAAAAAAATGTAATCTACCAGTGATAACTGATAAGACAGAGAGAAGAACCAGCTGGAATCGTAAATTCTACTGGTATCAAAACTAGAGCAACCATAGTGCAGCATGATATTACTCGGGATGTGATAAGTCAAAAAAATATAAAAAATCAGATGAAAAAAAAAAAGCAAAAAATATGAAAATGCTGGTTCATAATTGGAGGAGACCTTAATGTCCGAGTCAACCCCAGACTTCGCCATTTGCATAATAAGTTGATTTAGGCCCACATGAAGAACATTCTAACATCCCAGTGTTGGGGTGGAAGTATCGAGAGGTTTGGGGCTATTCTGTAACTGGGCCTTTTCAGGTTACTTAACATTTGTCATGATTGGTGTTTGTAAACCCATCACTGAAATTTAATGTCCAGAAAGTAAATGGTTGATTTACAGTATACAGTGTATCACCTTAATACACATGGTACTGTCTTTTGAACTAATGAACATTCATCTTGAATTCTTAAGAAGCCAGCACTGAGAATTATAATGTCATATCTAGATGATAATATGTGAATGCTGCCAGAAATTACCCAATAAGCCTACATGTATCTATAGTCCAAACATCACATGAAAATCATGATGCTTGGGGAACAGTGTACCGTAAAAGGACCTTTTGTTACAAATTTTGTGGGAAAAATACAAAAGTTTGACAATTTAAAGCATAATTTCATATTCATGCACCACTGATTATCGATTTATAATTTCTGTCTTGATATCATGTGCAAAGTTGAACCCTATTTTATAAATTGACCTTGCAGAATCTACCTGGTGGAGACATTCAAATTAATTTTATTCAATTTTCAACTCGATTAAAAAAAATCTTTATTCTGGGCTGCTATTCCAATAGTACACCAAGGTCAGAGTGATTGAAAATGATCCTCTTTGCGGTTAATGTATTCAATATATACATCTAGAATATGCACTGTCCAACTCAAAAGTACTTGTTCAAATAACAGAAATACCCTTGAATGCCAATATTCTCTATGTAATTTGGAATTCTAATAAAAGTATTGTGTAACCAGCAACTTTTCGGTGTTTGTTATCCTCTGTGTGTAATGGAAAATTTTGTTTTAGTTATCCTTGCATCTTTCCCAGTTTTGATTCTCTCTCTCTCACTTCTTCACTTCCCTCTTCTTAGAAGTAACATCTGACAAAGTCATCAGTGCTTTGAAGAAGGTTTCAGTCTCCTTTTTAAAAAATATTTCTTTCAAATACACATATCTAGAATCCTGATCAACTCTTTCTTATACACTTACAAATCATTTAAATTGTGATGTAGAACATGAGTGTCTGGAGGTGGAGACAGTACTAACTGTTACACCCAGAAGAAGAAGAAAGGGATTACATGCTGATCCTTTATGAACTCTGTCAAAATCTTTAGTTGCTGCCCCCTCCCCCCTGGAAGGTGAATATTTATATAGATATATACATTTTGGGGGGAAGAAAAAGGGGGACGTGTGCCCCAACTGCCCCCTTCCCTGGATCCGCCCCTGCTAGTGAGCTTTTATAAAAAGTAATGAAATATATAAGTAAGAGCAGCTCTGATAGATTTGATCAAACCGACACATGCATGCACCATTCACAAACATTCGATCACCATCTTGTAGCTTAAACAACTTTCACATTCAAAACCTGGAGGCTCTCCCAGAAGAGGTTTGAAGGTTAAACAATCTAGTCTCGACACAATCTGTTTTGCACTTCACCTTTTCATCATTTTGAGACAAAACAACTAGCACATTTTGCGAACAGAATTAAGTCAAGCTAATAAGCTATGCCTATTTTTGACAAACTTAAAACTGAGACATGACATGTTTTCGATTTGTGCTTCAAGTCGAGCTGAACTACGAGCTATATAGTGCAGAGCATCCCCATATTAAGGAGTTTATTGCTCGTACGGTACGTCACACAGAAACCATACTTCGCACTAACCAGGATTGGGAATGTAGAAGGAAATGAAGAGATTAAAATAACAAACAAAAAAGCTTGCACGATAACGCGCGGGATCTTATTTTAAACCATTCATAGTGGATTCAGTGGAGAGCCCTTCCCACGATATTGCTAATGCATGAATGAACCTTCGTGCAGTTGCCATACACACGCGAAGATGCTGCTGCGATACGGTTTGAAAATTCGAAGCCGCTTGCTTGGCCTAGGCCGAGGGAATTCCCCGCTGATGGGATCGCCCTCTCATTGGCCATGGCTCAGTTGCTCTGTTTTGGCGATCGTGGCCGTGCATTCGCCATTTTCACCCAGTAATTGTACACGTACCATCGAGGCCTAACTTAGTAGTAGTAATAATATGTACTGCCGCGTCATGCGTCATGCGTCATCTAGATTTTATGAATTCGATTCAGTGATTAATTGGTCCTATTTCATTATCCGACTTTAACCACCTGCAGCTGCAAGAATCTTCAAACCTGAAGAAGGCAACCTGAAGAAGATCTTTCTTTAGTGGCAGTAGCTAGTCCCAGTGGCGGATCCAGGGGGGGGGGGGGGGGGGGGGGGCCCGGGGGCCCCCCCCCCCCCCTTGAGAAAAAAATCATGTAAAATCACGTGATTTTTAGTACCTTTTTTTGGGGTTGGGCCCCCCCCCTGGCGCTCAAGGGGGGGGGGGGGGGGTGCAAATTGAATTTTTTTTTGAGGATCAAAAAAAAAAAAAAAATGTGCTCTGTACCCCCCCCCCCCCCCCCCCCCCCCCCCACTGTGCGACTTTTCGGCCGGCGCGATTTTCAAATTTTCTGGAGCAAAAAAAAAAAAAAAGTTGGGCCCCCTCCCCTAAGAAATCCTGGATCCGCGCCTGGCTAGTCCTGATCGAGGCTCTAAAAGTTAGATTAGATGTTCAGTTTATCGGCGACATGTTGTCTTTGAGTTGACTTTGTAAACCTGATCAGACTGAAAAGTGAAATAAGGTTAGTAATTAGACTACATGGGCCTGGTCCCTGGCCGGGTAGGCAGTTTCATGCAGGGGCAGTTCCGTCCGGCGACGAGGGAGGGGGCCCAATCCGTGAGAAAATATTTTGATAAGCGTAGTTGGGGGGGGGGGGGGGTAGACCGAATTTTCCGTCTCTTTCGTCCGTTAAAGGTATTACAAAGTTTTTGGTATGGGGTCATGAATTTGGTTCAAATTAACATATTGGAAGCATATACGTTCCTACAATATACATTGATCGTTGTCGCGGTTGAAATCGAGTCTAAAGTTATGAAATTATAAATAATAAACTCTTTATGTTGTATAGCTCCCTCTCAAGGTCAAGATATTAATTTAACTATGAAAAAATGTTTCTTGACTAAAATCGACCGATTAGCTATTCCCGTTTGGAAATTATATATCCCAGCTACACATTCTGAGATTTTCATGGTCGCAGCTACCATTGTACGGCCATAGGCGCTATTTGAAATTTATCAAAATTTACCGGGAGCACCGGTAAATTTTTATATTCAATTTTTCACGTAAACAGAAGTGTTTTAGGGGCTATTTTTTTTAGTGCTTATAATACATCCACAGGGGCATCCAAATATATCAAAATTGTAAAGATTCACTATCCACCCAATTTTCAAAATCTCCCAAAACTTTGTATTACCTTTAAGCCTCTTTTTTGGGTAGGGTTGGCTCTCTCTTTAGAGACGGAAGCCGACTATATATCCTAGATCTAACCGCCAAACTTCGGACACTTAAGACAAAACGGGGGAAAACATTAAATTCTTTTTTTTAATTAGTGAAAGATCAAATACGCTATTATTGTGCAAATACTGTTTATGTATGTCATGAAAAGAAAATTAGTAAAGGAAATGGAAAACTAGAATTATTTACTTACCCGCCGAACCTTTTTTCATGCCAAGCTTCGGACGCACTTGCTAAGCTTCGGACGTTCATTTGTAGCGCACGTATAACGCACGTATAGCGCATAGCGCACGTACAGCGCACGTATAGCGCGCGCGCTAAAGTGCGTATTCATCGGAGGTTTGAAAACTGGATCAAAAATCGTTCGACGGGGGTAAGTTTGACTGCGTTGATTTCATGAAAAAAATATTATTTTCTCGTTTCGGATAGATTTATTTTAGGTAGAACTATCAGAAAGGTGTTTTTCACAACACTCACACAATATTTTGGTGCTAAAATCTTACGAAAGCGCTATTTTTTCGTAGTCAAAATGACACTCAATGTTGCCTGTCCGAAGTTTGGAAGAGCGCCATCTTCTGGTAGGGGTACCTGTATAGTACCCCTATATCCATGGTAACGGCCGCCATTAGAAAAATTTCGCGATAGAGTGAAAAAGTATCTCATAAGCTCCCATAATTTTGGCAGAAACCACCGGAAATATGCCAAGGATTTGTTTTTAATCGATATGTTGGAGGATCTATACCTTAACTCCCCTGTTAAGGAACTGTAAAAATCCAGGTAACCTGAAATCTGTCTCTGAATTCGATGTTTTTTGTGAGTTTTGCAGACGGCAACCTGCCCTAACTTTCTGTAGGCTACTAACGATGTAGGTTAGTAGTAGGCTAGTAGTATCAAATGCATGCAAGTTACCCGCCTGAGCTAGGCTCATATTTTGCGTTCGAGCCGTTGAAGTAATTTTTGTCTAGGCCTAGACTAGGTCTAGATATTCATTTTCAAACACCATGGCCATATTCAGAGGCGTAGGCCTACACGGGGGGGGGGGGGGGGGGGGGGGGGGGGGGGGGGGGGGGGGGTTAACCCCCACTTTTGGTATTTTTTTTTGTATGTAAAAGTTAGACTCTAGGCCTAATTAGGTCTAGGCCTAGATCTAAAACCCCCCCTTTTGTTTGTTGTTGTTTTTTAATTACTTTTATCTAGATCTAGGCCTAGATCTAGATCTAGATCTAGACCTCTAGACTATTAAAAAAAAAAAAAAAATTCACATGGCTGACCTAACGGTGACCTTACTCCCCCCAACGGAGCCAAATGTCAAATTTTCAAATTTCGAAACCAAAAATTAAAAAAAACTAGCAGGACCCGTGGAAAATCCACGGGATTCTAGACTAGTAGGGGAGGGGGCCAAATAGATAGATCTAGATAGATAGAGGCCTAGAATCTAGGTCTAGTGCTATCCAAAATAAAATTAGACTAGAATCTAGAGTAAAGTACCCGGTTTTCGGCCACTTAAGACAAAATCCTATTTATTGGACTCTTTACTTCCTATTTATTATCATTTCTTGTTCAAATCATGAAGCAAATATTATTATTATTTAAACAAAAAAAGAATCCCCCCAAAAAATCACGAATTGCCATGACAATATTCATTTCAATTTTCACTGTTTTGGAGCCGGTTATCGGCCGAGCGTTTCAGTTTACGGCCGCATGTACAAAGTCAATAGGAAGCGCTCGCGCGCGCCGTGCGTTTCTGCGCTGATGTATAGCACAAGCTGGCGGAGCAGGTATCCCACGCCGGAGCTCCCGGGTGCTCGCCTGGCCGAATACAGGCACAGCGGTGATCGGAAGTTGGAATCTGAATTAGACAGACATATCGTGTGTGCGTCGCGGTGTGCGGCTGCATTGATTTAATACATGCGATGAGATACTTTTGAGCTTGCGACCAGCACAAAATCGGGCTCTATATCTGAAAAATACTTGAAATAAAGCTCATTTTATGGTACCCATATTTCTTACATACACGCGTAAGAAACTCGATTTTTCAGATTTGGGTAGCGGGACCGCCGATTACATCGCTAAAATGTGATATTTTAGGATATATTTTTCATTGCAAATGTGGTTCTTCAGTGACACTGGCATGGTATGGTATGTGTGGGATATGTGTTATGCTATTATGCGATGTATTTTAAAGTGATTTTACCATGTATCCAACCAATTGGCCGAAAACCGGAGCTGACCGATTACCGGGTACTTTACTCTAGATTATCTTTATAGGCTCTAGACTATAGTACTAGATCTAGATCTAGGTCTAGAGAATTTTTATAATATAGCCTAGACTAGGTCTAGATCTAGATCTAGATCTATGCTGTTTGACCATGAATGGCGCATCGTAAAACAAACTAGTCTAGA